TACTCTTATAGCTCGAGCAATTATGCTGTCGTGTGAACAACTACCACAAGGTCCCTCGTTATCAACTCTTAATATTAGTATTAACTCTATATCGGAAGATTCCCCTACTGAATCCATTACTATTGACCAACTGAACAATGATAGTGATTTAGGACTAGACGTGAAAAATCAACTGTGTGATTTACTTAACTCACGGCGCGAATGTTTTGCATTCTCGTTGGACGAGTTAGGTAGAACGTCGGATACTGAAATGCACATAAAGGTAAAGGACTCAGAACCGGTAACATACAGGCCGTATAGACTTTCGTTCTCCGAACGCGAAAAGGTGAATACGATTGTAAGTAGTATGCTGGCAAATGGAATTATTCGCGAGTCTCGGTCTGAGTATGCCAGCCCAATACTACTAGTTGCAAAGAAAAATGGCGACACGAGGCTATGCGTCGATTATAGGGCCTTGAACAGAAAGACTGTCAAGGAAAAGTTTCCCATGCCACTGATCGATGATCAGATTGACAGCCTTTCTGGTCAGGTTTTCTTCACAACTCTTGACCTCACATCTGGGTATCACCAGATACCAGTCTCTGAGGAATCCAAGCATCTGACGGCATTTGTCACGCCCGATGGGCATTACGAATATAATCGCATGCCCTTCGGGCTGACAAATGCACCAGCCGTATTCCAGAGGCTCATTCTAAATCTGTTGAAGAGACAGAATATTCCTGGGGTATTAGCATACATGGATGATATTATAATAGCATCCAAAACTATAGATGATGGAATGGAGAAACTGAGCTTAGTTCTGGATTTACTGAAAGAGGCTAATCTCACTTTGAACTTGTCTAAGTGCAACTTCTTTAGAAAATCTATAGAATATCTCGGTTTCGAAATATCCAATGAGGGCGTAAAACCCGGTCAGAAAAAGATAGCGGCAGTTGTTGGGTTTAAAGCACCGCAGAACGTACACGAAATACGACAGTTTGTCGGCCTTTGTAGCTTTTTCAGGAGGTTCGTACCTGGTTTTGCTACACTGGCCAGGCCTCTTACCATGTTGACAAAAGCTAATGTGCCTTGGGTGTGGGGTACAGACCAAATAGATGCTTTTACGAAACTTAAGGAGATACTAACAACCCGTCCAGTGTTGGCCATCTATAACCCTAATTATGAGACAGAGCTCCACACGGATGCCAGTTCAATGGGATTGGCTGGTATTCTGATGCAGCGCCCTGATGAAAAGTCACCCTTGAGACCTGTAGCCTATTTCAGTAGGCAGACAACGGCAGACGAACAACACTTTCACTCATATGAACTTGAAACTCTTGCCGTTGTCGCCTCCCTTAATAGGTTCAGGGTATACCTAATTGGCATCACCTTTAAGGTGATTACGGATTGTAATGCAATAATTATTGGTTTAGGTTAGGTTAGAACTGTGACCACAACGCACGAGCCGAGCGAGCGAAGCCAGAGTCCCGCTCCAGTCATTCAGTCAAGTTCCAGAAACGAATCGGTCTATTCATTATTATTGGTTTAGGTTAGGTTAGAACTGTGGCCTTACGTTTTATTCGCGAAGAACGTACTTCTGTACGTAGTATTTATTATTATTCTATGGTATGAGTGAAAATATTATGGTAATGTTTAGGGATAAAAGTGTTATGATAAAAAACAGTAGGAGTTTAAATATATTTACATAAATGATATTATTAATTAAAATTTTCGGAAACATGAGTGTTATGAACCTCGCCGGTAGCACTACAAATAGTATGAGAGAAAACTTTAGGATGAAAAATTTTAGGAAGAGTGATCATTCGGATTTAAAATCGTTAGGAAGAACAATTTCGGGTAAATAACTTTAGGTGAGCCAATATGGACCCATTCTAGACCACATAACTATTATCTGTAGAAATAGGACAATTTGGGGAATTGTTGGCCTATGGGGTCGTTTATTATTCACTTCCCACTCTCATCATTTCAGCCACAGGACGTCAACTGCTGAACATAGGCCTCCCCCAATGATTTCCATAACGCCCGGTTGGTATCGGCCTGCATCCAGCGCCTCCCTGCTACCTTTAAGAGGTCGTCGGTCCACCTTGTGGGTGGACGTCTTACGCTCCGTTTTCTGGTAGGTACGTGGCCTCCACTTCAACTTCCTAAATCTCTATCTTCCCCATCCTCACTCACTCAAAAACACGTGACTTGTATTTTTCTAAAATTACCTTTAAACAAGTAAGAGCAAAAAGCAAAATCATAGATTTACTGACGCCAACTTTTGGTTTAATAATAGCACGTTTAACAAATAGTAGGTACGTTATTTAATAATTTAATTGCGAATAATTTTATTCGCATAGTGACTAAAATAATGATGCAAACATGGTGAGATTAGGGTTAAGTTATATCAATTTTGTCACGGTACATTAAGTCTAGTATCTAAACCAATTAAGAAAAAAAATGTTGTTTGATTTTAAATAGTATAATTATGTACTTCATCATCATCATCATCATCATTTCAGCCATAGGACGTCCACTGCTGAACATAGGCCTCCCCCAAAGCTTTCCATGTTGATCGATTGGTAGCGGCCTGCGTCCAGCGCTTCCCCGCTACCTTTACGATGTGGTCGGTCCACCTTATAGGTGGACGTCCCACTCTGCGTTTTCCGGTACGCAGCCTCAATTCCAGAACCTTGCTGCCCCATCGGCCGTCAGTTCTGCGTACTATGTGCCCTGCCCATTGCCACTTGAGCTTGATAATCCGTCGGGCTATGTCAGCGACTTTAGTTTGTTTACGGATCTCCTCATTTCTGATTCGATCTCGTAAAGAAACACCAAGCATAGCCCACTCCATAGCACGCTGTGCAACTTTGAGCTTCAATACTCAATACGTTTATTGCTTCTGTATAAGGTCACGTTTTCAAGCCATAAGTCATCACTGGTAACATTATGTACTTATGTGACTTGAATAAATACCTAAATCAAAATGATGTAACCGATCTTGCCTGTATATTGCTGGATGTCATTTAAAAGTCTGAATTCCTTTGCCACTTAAAAATATGAAAGAGCTTTTTTATCTGTGCATAAAACCTATGCGGGAATTTCGTGGGACTTTTTGGCGGGAAAGTAAAACGTCATGTCAATTTAGTTTTCTTTTTTTTTTAAATGCGTATAATAATGGTGGAATTAACTAACATTAGTGTTCTTGAACGTGCAAGAAGTCTGTGTGAGGTCTCAGTAGAAAAGCATATTTACTGAAACTTTAAGAAAGGAATACCTACCATTGTTACATTCCACAATCACTATACATTGCAAAGATTTTTTATATTTACTTGAAATGCAACTTATTTACTTGACACTGGCTAAATGCGCATATTTCTCGAAGCCATGAGGAAAATTAAAAAAGAAGAGAGTATCGTTTTTTAGTCTGTGGCGCTTAGGTGGCGCTCGTCCTACATTTTTTACAATTACCTACGAAATTAATTAATTTTTAGAGGTTAATATTGTGAAAATAATATTTTAAACAAATATTGTTCTAAAGTCTGGTATTACAGTAATAAATAGGGCAAATATTTTGCCATCAGGTTTTATGAATTATGTTTTACGACAAAGATTTAATGAATAGTAAGTCCCTTGGAAAAGTTTGGCGCGCTGCTCATGATTTCAAGGAAGAATCTGATGAACAAGCATCTATGGCGAGTATTTGGTATGTTAAAATTAAATTAACTTTACTTACCTACTTTAAGTTTTAGTGCCTTAAATAATACAACATTTAAAATTGTGTTTTTGCTGTCTGGACTTATAGCCTTCTAAATAGTGTTTTATCTAATAGTGAAGACCCACATTATTAAGAACAGGTACACCCACCTATAAGATCGTTTCATCCACGAAGACGCGCCCCACCAATTTTTGGTCGAGGGAAGCGCGGAGTGCGAGGAGTTTGATCCGAGCAATCCGAGCGCCATTTATGTCAGATAATGTAGTGTGAGTGTGCACTCATTGAATAATTTAACGTGTACCGATAACACTCAAACATTCGAGGAAGAATGGTGGGGCGCGTCTTCGTGGATGAAACCATCTATATTATCTGTCTCTCTCTCTCTTATGAACTGTAACTGGCCTACTTATAGATTTACAAAGATTGATAACAGTAAATACAAATGAGTAGGTTATCTTCATAGAAACGCACCGAGCGCGGTTTGTATGTGAGCGCGCGCCAATAAGTATGCGGCGCGCACGACTTACACAAAACTTTATCGCGCGCGTCCCTGTTTCAAAAACCGGGATAAAAACTATCCTATGTCCTTTCCCGGGACTCAAACTATCTCTGTTCCAAATTTCATCAAAATCGGTTCAGTGGTTTAGGCGTGAAAGCGAGACAGACAGACAGAGTTACTTTCGCATTTATAACATTATAGTATCTAGTAGCTAGGTATTGATATCGTGTTATTTTCAGCGACAAGCTAGACTTGTGGGTCGATAGCGATCACGAAGACGCTAGCAGACGGCTCTCGCTTCGAACGTCGTCGATATTCGTCGATGGCGCAGCTCGGCTGTACAAGCGAAAAATAGAATCGCTATTTGAAGGTAACTATAATGTAATAAATTAGAACAGAATAGAACTCGTTCTGAACATCCTTTGTCCAGCAGTGGACGTCATTTTGCTAAAACGAACGAACGAAGAATATATAACTTTTTTTTTTTGTACTTGTTTCGTTTTCTTCATTGAATGACAGCACGCAGAACTGATAGCCGTTGAGGCTGCAAGGTTCTGGAATGGACGCCACGTATCGGCAAGCGCAGGGTGGGATACCTACTTACCCACAAAGTGGGTAGAACGCTGGATGTAGGCCGCTGCCACCCGGCCAATCTGGAAATCATTGGGGGAGGCCTATGTTCAGCAGTGGACGTCCCGTGGCTGAAATGATGATGATTAAATACAAATTACAAACTGTAATTGTATATTATCGTACTTAGTCGTAGACTTTTTACCCGACTGCATGACGGAAGATAATGTGTTGTGAAAGATCTTGCTTCTGGCGCTCTGCATTCAACCCACGCGCAGAATTTATAGATGGATACTTACATTTTTTATAATTTTAGATACACAAAGATTGGACCGAGATATGTCTAAACGAAGGAGATATCGCTGTTCGATCGATAGTAATCAAGGTAAGATAAATAAATATACACTCAACATCAAATAAACCGCACCTTCCACGACGCGAACTTCAAAGATTTTCTTCTGACACAATCATGGTACCCCAACAATATTGGTGTTATTTGAAAGCCCAATAAATATCCTTTAAGAAAAACACATTTAATTTCTTAATAAATGATAAGCATATACCATAAATGTGACTTGAATAAAGACCTCACTTTGGGCTCACCTCTGGGATCAATTAGACCAAATTTTATGGTTATAAAACCAAATAATGATCACACGACGTGTCCTCTTTAACAGATGGATAGCAATTAATCCCAACTTAACAGTTTTATAACCATAAAAGTTGGCTCAAGCGTAACTACCTATTTTTTGAAAAAGTGACCTTGGATCCTTCTAAAGACACATTTTTGGGGTAAAAACCTTTCCTTTAATGAAATGAAGTTTAGAACTAGGCTTTTAAATGGTGCTAATATTGGTGGGAAGTGGGGATGCATACGTTTGAAAGTGCTTGTCGAGGGAGGTGCGATTTATTTGATGCCGAGTGTAGATCGTTTCATCTACGAAGACGCGCCCCACCATTTTTCCGTTAATGTTTGAGTGTTATCGGTACACGCTAAATTATCCATGAGTGCACACCTGCACACGCGCTCTACAATAATGACGCTCGGATTGCTCGTATCAAACTCCATGCACCCGCGCTTCCCTCAACCAAAAAGTGGTGGGGCGCGTCTTTGTGGATGAAACGATCTAAGTATATATTATTTTACTTCTTTATTTATCCTCTTTTGCTCTGGAAGTGAAATCTATATTTAGCTTCGATCACTTCCTTTTTTCTTCCGAAAAAAAGGAATTTTCCGCTGGTTTTCAATTTAGGCATAATTTTCCCTATTTATTTTGTCCCCCGTACCAATATTTACATATGGAATTTTCCAGACATGTCGCAAACGTACACAGATCCCGAATTCCATGGAACAATCGTCAGTGACGTGTCAGAAATGGAATCGGGATCCCATGGATTTGACGAATCAATTCCAAGTATAGAACAGCGAAGAAAAAATCCCCAATTTGAAGATGGTCTCAATTTTCCGGTAAAGTATTAACTACTAAACCTAACCCTATTTTACCGACTTCAAAAAAGGAGAAAATTCTCAAATAAACAGTACCTATATTTTCGTATGGTTGTTATACCGCAGAACTATGTAAATTGTTTAATGGAATATGCTAAAGAAAATTTGGTTAGTCACCAACTTTTGGTATTGTCTAAAAACAACTGCCTTTTTCTGCCTGAATCTATCGATCCCATAGTAAATCAATACGTAATGATGCATTAATAATAATAATTGTCAAATTCTTTGCATAAATACTTAAGCTGAATTCCATCATCAAACTTTAACACGATAACTGGTGTGTTTTGTATGGAGTTTGACGTATTTCGGCTGGGCTGCACCATCTTACTTTAACTTTAACAAACGTTAAAGATCTATCAAACTCCATACGAAAATTAATCCAATTATAGTTACGGTTAGAGTTAGATGGTGCAACTCAGCCTTACTTTATTTTATTCCAGAGCACCGAAGAACCAACAAAATTCGACAAAGAAGTGCAAACTACACCAAAAAGACAAAGGAACCGCAAAAGTAATTCCCAAGAACTACCATTCGATGGTAGTTTTGACAGAAACCTACCATTCGGCTTCATTCTCGTCCATGATAACTACCAAACGAGAATCCCTAGCAAAATTATATTCACTTCAATTACTTCTGATATTAACAAATTGGTTTAAATTATAATTATTTGAAGGTGGCTGAAATTAGTTTAAATTATTAATTAACATTAACCATTTAAGTTCGAATATTTATGTTTTGGTTAAATTAATTTGTACCTTCTTTTGTTTTCATTTAAAGACTGATTAATTAAATAACGAAAATTAGGTATTTGATGATTTATGTTGACATAACAATAATAATAAAGAATTAATAAAGTATTAATGTTTATCAATTGTCAATTAATTCAATATAACTCGTTCGATACTCAAAAACTACCAAATGGATTTCAATAGGGTTTTCATAATTATTATTTGTTATTTTAACCCTTACTTATAAAAAGTTACACAGTTGATGAACACTGTTTTAAAATGACATTTCCATTCTAAACGTCACTTTAAAACACTGTTCAACGAGCGTATAAGTTTTATTAGTAAGAGGTAAGAGTCTAGATTAGATTTGGTGTTTAATTTATAAATATGCACATTGAGTGAGTGAATGAATCGTACCAAGGTCTATACATATAATCATAGATTAAATCAACGCCAGAAATAAATACGAATTACATACAAAAATGCATGCAACTGCACAATAGAAATAATTATATTTTAGATTTATTTTTTGATCGAATCAGAAAGATCCGTAAACGAACTAAAGTCGCTGACATAGCCCGACGGATTAGCAAGCTGAAGTGGCAGTGGGCAGGGCACATAGTACGCAGAACTGCCGGCCGATGGGGCAGCAAGGTTCTGGAATGCTGGTTCACTCGTCATGTCTGTGAACAGGCGCTGCTTTCGGGGACTGGTCAATCCAAGTTATTCAAATCCCACGACCTGATAAAGGTAGCAGGAAGGCGCTGGATGCAGGCCGCTACCAACCGTGCGATGTGGAAGTCATTGGGGGAGGCCTATGTTCAGCAGTGGACGTCCTATGGCTGAAATGATGATGATGATGAATAGTTCCGTTAACCCCTCGTGGTAAGTTGTGTTACGAGTGGGTTCACCATAATACAGCGGGCGATGAGGGTAATGAAGCTGGAAACATTGATTTTTTTGATATATCCAGTTTCTTCTATAACCTACTACTGATATCGTTTGATAGAGCTCGTAAAGCACTTTCAGGATCAGTAGTCTGTTTTGTAATATCGTTACGTAGTTTAGAAAAAATCGAGTGATATCACCGTTTTCACCCTGTATAGTGACTTGTAGACTGTACATCTCGCATGAACACTTTCGTCTTCGAATCGTTTGCGTATTCGTCAATTCGATACTCAATCTTTGAATTAAACGATAACGCGACAATTTTCATTCTCAAAATAAGTTTCGTGCAATCATTTCTCATACTAAATTCACTTTACGACACGTTCACAAGGGCGCTGTTGTAGTTTTCGTACTAAATCTTTTGATGGCGATTCGAACTCGAAAGTTTTTCGTGCTAACCGTACTGCGCACCTCGCTGCAATGCGACTCTCCCTCTCACTTATCCGTACACCTCGCGTTCGCCCCGTCCGTAAGGCCTCAGCCTCGAACTTAGCGGGCAGCGGGGCGGCGGCGGTGGCGGCGCGGGAGCGGGGCGGGCAACGCAGACCCGTTCTCGAAACAAGCGGGCAGCTCGCGCGGCGCTTTAGCGGCGAAGTGTTGTGTTCGGGGTTGTGTTGTCGAGATATTTGTTTTTATTCGCAAACGAAATGTCTGAACAACGGCGACAATTTTATTTCGATTCAAATTTATTCCTAACGCTCGATTTATTGTGGGCAAAAGAAGGAGTGCGCTGCCCGCTCGTTACCCGCTCCTTCGCCGCTGCCCGCTCGTTGCCCGCTCCGGCGCCGCTGCCGCGCCGCTGTTTTCGAGAACCGGTCTATTTGATTTCACGCACAAGATCCTGCCGCTGCCGCGCCGCCGCCGCTCCCGCCCCGCTGCCCGCTAAGTTCGAGGCTGAGGCCTAACAGAGCGTCGATGTGACGTCATGGCTGCCAGGTGCGCAGTTAACTCGACCGAGTTGTACTATTGAAACAAACAAAAAGACACGATTAATTTCGAATTTATCTACATATACTAATATTATAGAGGTAAAGTTTGTGTGTTAAATTGTAAGGGGTAATCTCAGGATCTACTGAACCTATTTTAGAAATTCTTCCACCAATAGAAAGCCACATTATTGCTGAGGGTCAAAGGTTATATAAAACAGAAAAATTCCACGCGAGCGAAGCCGCGGGCGGAATAAAGCTAGCTAGCTATCATAATATTTATTATAATATTTATTTAGTAATAAAGGAAAAACCAATTGAGACGAGTAGTCAAATTCAATGTAGAATTAATTATTCCAATCATCATCCGCCTATTGTAGCATCCATCAAGTGTAGAGATCCGGTCGACAAAAGTGTACTGAGATGAGTAAAATATTCATTTGTTTAATTTGGTTTGTTGTTAGCATTGTTACTTTAGCCACCAAGACAGAGGTAAGTTTCTTTCGAAAAATAAGAGAAATATCAGATAAATTCCGATTTCTTAAGAGACCTAAGGAGACAAATAATTAGTTGTGATTTTTTGGAGCAGATTTTAAAAAATAATCTATTAGCGTAATTGTAATTAGTCTCTGCTTTCTCTCTCTCTCTCTCTCTCTCTCTCATTTGGACAAGCTTATTTCATATTCAACTTTTGTAAGTCAAGTGCTAGGAAGGAGTCTCTTGCATGGGGATTCCTTTTAGTAGGCGCTCACTAAGACGGGATTTTTACAGTCAAAACTCGGTCAAACCTGACTGATTTTTGCAGTCAAAAGAGCTTTTGACTGATGCCCTTGGTCAATATCACTTTTGAATGATTTTTTGCACTCAAAAGTGGTTTTGACTGACACGCTTGGTACATAATATTTATAGAGTACTAGCGGCCGCCCGAGACTTCGTACGCGTGGACCTCGTTGTACTCCATTAGGGGTGGAGTTTCGTAAAATCCGCTACATTTTAAATTTCAACTCTCTTAACTTCTGGTTATGGCCCTATATTGCATAAAAAATTAAATTGCAAAATTACAAATAATTGTATGCCTGACGCATCCTTTGGTCAATTAATAAATGACATAAAAAAATGTAAACAATTACACACCAAATCTATTTTAATTTTAATGTTTGGAAACAGCCAGAATATTACGGATAATTGGTTAAGGAGAACTGGTTTTAAATTCAGTTGCAAGATTTATCCCATACTAACTAACAAGCGAAGTGCTTGTAAAAATGGTACGCATAATATATCTTTTTTGCGACTAGTTTTCTGTATTATACCATTCAATTCAAATTCAAATTCTGCGTCAACTTTATAAAAAACTTGCCGCAGTAGTGTTCATACTGATTTTTTTACAAAACGACGAGTCAAAGTGGAGTGTAAGTAAAAATCGTTCAAAATTTTAAGGAAATATCATATTTTGATTAACTTTTGTGTAAAAACTGCAAGGATTCTGAGGGTTTTAAGAATTAGGGTGGACAGCAGCACTACTTAAGTTGCCGATACAAACAAAAAAACTGAAGTATTTGAAAAATTGTAGTCGTGGTAATGTAAAATATCATAAGGGGTGTCAATTTTCGACGAATTTCATAATTTATTGTGTAACTTAAAAAATAATTGAGATAGATATTTTTTCTTATTTTTCCTAAAGCAGTCATGACTATGTCCACCCTGCGGCGCCGGCTTATTCTTGAATTTTGGGACACGTTGTAGATATATGATACATCTCAACTCGCTAATATTTTTCAGGGCCCTTTCAAATGTGTGCTTTCTGCTGTGAGGCCGTGCAACAAAACGTCTCGACCAGTCATGAAAAAATATCCTACAGTCACAATACTTTATGAGCTTTACTATGACACTTCTACAAAACAAAACTTAGGCAGAGGTAACATTACTGTTCTAAGAGACGTAAATTTTTTTGAGGTAAGAACACGTTAATATTTCGTTCATGAATATCATTATCCTCATCATTATCAAGTCATGTAGTCTCTTCTGAAAAACATAGTAGAAGAGCAAAGTGGAGCAAAGTCAGTTCTGTGTGCATAAACATATTAAATTATTGTACACCACAAAACAAGTGAAAAGGCACAAGATTAAGATTTAGGCGGTCTTATCGGTATACAGCGATCTCTTCCAGGTAACGACACCAGTCCCAAGCGCGATTGAGCGAAATAAATCGTGAAAAATAGTAATTTTGGTTCATAGCAGTCATATCACTAGGACGCATAGTTTCCGAGGATTAAGCGAAAAACTGAAGTGGTACCTTTAAACCCCCCTCTCCCCGCCGGCTCAAGGGCTGAAGGCGGGGACTTTTGCTATGTTGTTCACCTCCTAACTAGTCTAAATAAAGTCCCAAAGTGTTGTTGTTTCGTTTAATTAATTCTAAATTGTGCCAATATCTGGGGTGGTGGGAGCCTGTACCTGTACTACAGGTATGCAAATATACCTATCACAGGCATCAGTCTCACACAAACAACTTTGTTTTTGAATTGTAATGTGCGTAATTACTTGTGTCATTGTAATGTTTGTGATGAGAAAATAAATACTATTTATTATTTATTATTAAAGTCAGAAATTGTGTTCCACGGATTTCCATCTATAATGCTTTATTGACTACACTAAATATTGATAAATATTTTTGTTTGAACTAACTATAGTAGTACTAGTGTTGTAGATGTATTAGCCTATCTTTTGGTAGCCTCCATACAATATGGGTCTATCACGATCACCTAGATTTGATCACCCAGGTGATCAAAGTGGACTCCAAGCGACACTTTGGTTTTCTTTGATCACCCATGGATAATATCACCATGGATATAATCAGGAGATCAAAGTGGATTTCTTATCCCTGGGTGATCAAAGGACAACAAAGTGTGGCCTAGAGTTCACTTTGATCACCTGGGTGATAAAATCCAGGTGATGATTAGACCACAATTTAGGTCAACTCTATTAAACTTTTAATTTTCGATCGTTCGTTCGTTCGTGTCAGCCGAAAGACGTCCACTGCTGGACAAAGGCCTCCAC